ATTTTCTTAGTTAAAAAATGCCTAGAATCAAAATTTTAATTATTTTTAAAATTATCAAATGTTAGGCGTTAGATTAGACAATAAAAAAAGATGAGAGCAAACTCAAATGACAGTAATAGTTAGGAAGGAGAAGTATTGAGGTAGAAGTCAAAATAAGTAATTTTGATACTTTTTTATATTTTACTTCTATAATAGTCTTTCTCATTTTTTAACCTTTTCAATTTGTTCTAACTTAAACGTATTATTATTATTATTCAATGGAATAATTAATTTACATAAAAAAATAAATTAAACATATATTATCAATAATAGAAAGAACTATGGTGCTTTTTTACATTGCACTCATTATAATTAATCAAAATACATTAGAAAAAAGTTTAAAAATTACTCATAATTAATTTCTTATTTTTCTACTTCGTAATTATATTTTAGTCGCCTTATAAAGTATATATTAGGCATACTAATTAGAATTGGATCTTTCTATATTTTAATATAAAAGTGTCAAGTCAATAAAGTCATCAAAGGTGGAGGATGACTCATAAAAAACTTGCCAAGTATACCCGCCACATGTCGACATTCTGTGAGCCCGAGTCTCAAATATTATAATAAAAGATATATATATATATATATATATTCTACTGGAAGAGGGAGCACAAGGAAAGACCAAGAAGAAGAAGAGTCACTCACGGTGTTCCTTTCAGCTGGGTTTTTTTGGCAAAGAGATTACGCTTTAAAAGGGTAAATTCCCCTTATATTACTCTCTTTTGTGGCAAAACCTTTATTTCAAGATCTCCAAAAAGATAGAGTGGTGGCTCCTTTTTTTCCTAAAAAAATATACTATTATTGTATGTGTGGTCCCTTCATAGAATCCATCTTCTTCAGTTGTCAAGTACTCTTTATATATCCGTAGTGAGTAGTCATTTATGTGTAACTAAAAATTCTTTTTGATTAACTGAATGCTCATTTTCGAGAGTTGAACACTCATTTTTCTAAAATTCAATTATACTCAACAATGAGTATTTAGTTACTCGAAAATGAGTATTCTGTTATCTGAAAATAAGTATTCATGTGGATGTGTGGGGAATACCGTACATCCAGATGTATGGTATAACTACTCCCTAAAAGGTAGCTACAGGCTTGTTTGGTGAGGACATAAAATATAAATTACTCATTATATCAAAAAATATTTGCGGGTGTTTGGTGAAGCCTAAATAGGGTTTGGATTAGGATAAATTATCCAAAATAATCCCAACTTTACATGGTATTTCAAAAATTATCTCATCTTTCACTATGATGCATAATAATTCCAACTTTATTAAAATTTGTGATTTACCGTTGAGTTTCTAACAACGAGTTGACGAAAAAGCCTGTTTTGCGTAACAAAATGAAAGTTGGGATTATTTTTGATGAATTTCTATTTTCTTTTTTCTTTTTTTTTTGAAATTTTCATTTAAATTTTGAAAATTAGTTTCTACCTCCATTTCTTTTTCTTTTTTAGAGATTATTCTTACCTTCGAAAAAAATATAAAAATAGATATAACAAATAAGGAAATGAGAAAAATAATTAAAACAATACAAAATTAATGAATAAATAATGTAATCAATAGAAATTAAACTGAAACTTCTAAGAAATAAAATAAATATATACAGAGTGATGGGTTTTAGCATTTTATGCACTATATACAAAGTCTTCATGTACTGCTTAATTTTTTAAATAACAGACCGTCCAGTAAAGTTTGAATTATTCTAGATAATGTTTTGTAAAAAAATAAGAAGTGGTACGTTAATACTTTGTATGATGCATAAAATATTAAAACCATCACTCTGTATATTTTATTTTATTTCTTACCACTTTCAAGTTAATTAGTTTCTATTGATTACATTATTTATTTTGTATTGTTTTTATTACTTTTCCCATTTTCGTTATTTTTATATCTGTTATTTTTTTAAAGTAAGACTAATCTTTAAAAAAAGAAAAAGAATTGATGGAGCTAGAAAGTAATTTTAAAAATTTAAATGAAAGTTTCAAAAAAAATTAAAAAATGAAAATTAATAAATTAAAACTAATCTCAACTTTCATTCTGTTGCACAAAACAGGCTTTTCTGTTAACTTTTTATTAGCAACTTAACGGCGACCCAAAACACGCAAATTTCGGTGAAGTTTAGATTATTATACATCACAATGAAAGATGAGATTATTTTTTGAAAAACCAGGTAAAGTTATAATTATTTTGAATAATTTTTCTTTTGGATTTTGATATCTCCTTATATCATAACCTTCGTAATTGGGAGTCTTCTTTTGAACTTTGGGAAAGGGAAATATTAATTTAGATGTTTTGATACATCTTCCTCAACGGTCATCTACCGGCCACTCTTGCCAGCCTTTAACAATCAATATTTATTTTTGAAAAGCAATATAGATCAACCATGCTAGAGTTACATCGAGGAGCGTATCATAAAGTATACTCCAATGATATATAATAACATTTTAATGGTTCATATTGCCTCAAAATGTTAGTGCGATAAAAAAATTGCACTAACACGTACAAGTCAATAATGCCCACCTATAATGTATAATTTGAGGTACAAATATTGGGGTACAAATAGCTTAATCTTATAGATTATCAATCATTACACCAAAGAGTGAATCTCAAAGTGTACACCAATGATATACATTAACATTTTGATAGCTCACAGTTCACACTAACACAGAATATTTTTTTTGAACGAAAGTACTATTCTTTTATTCACAATCTCAAACGCTTAATACATCAAAATTCAATTACAGTGTTATCCCCTCTTACTACTCATATTGGTTTGGATGTGGAATTTAACCGTGGCTACTATGTCTTCCTCCTTGATCTCTTTTTGATGGAGCTTAGCATTCCTTGCCTTCTAAATGTTATAGCACACATTCATCCAAGCTTCCATAACCATCCCCCTTGCTCGGGCAGGTTTTATCCTCCATATATTCTCTCCCATCTCTTTTAAGGTATCCCCTTTGATTGTATAATTCATCCATTCAAATATTACCTTCACAACCTTTCTGGTCACTCTACATTGGCAGAATAGGTGATTAATATTCTCTTCCTCTTCTTCACATAATAGGCATTTTGTATCAATATCCATGAATCTCTTCAATCTGTCTCTGGTTTGCATTCTGTTCTTCATTATCAACCAAAAAATAAATCTGTGTTTTGGAACACAAATTCCACTCCAAACCCAACTGGCCCAGTAGGGAGTCTCCTTAGGTCTTACTAGCCAGCAGTATCCTTTCTATACTTCATATTCTGCATCCTTTCTCATCACAGCAAATTCATCTCTGGTTTTTATCATCTTTTTCAAGTAGTTGCAGCAGTTTGATTTGGGGGTGTATTTCCAAAAATCCATCCTTTTTAAGTACCTTTCATGTATCCACTATACCCACAAGATGTCCTTCTTCTTCGCAATATCCCAATTCAGCTTCATGATAGTAGCTTTGTTCCAAAGGTACATGTTTCTGATGCCCAGACCTCCTATCTTCTTAGGGATGCAGATATTTTCCCATTGTACATAAGGGCTCTTTTTGTACTCAGCAGTTGCATTCCATAAGAAGTTTCTGCACAAATCATTGATTCTCTTCAGGACTTTCTTGGGAAGTATGAATATTCTAGACCAAAAAGTGATCACACCCATTAGAATTGTATTGATCAAGTTGACCCTCCCTGCATATGAGATATGCTTAGACTTCCACATGTTAATCTTTGCAGCTATCTTCTCTGTTAGTTTATCACAGTCACTACTGATTGGAATTCCCAAGTATGTTAAAGGCATCTCACCCTTCTCCATACTTGTTAGCTTCATTATATCATCCATGAGTTGTTCATTGCACCCTCCAAATACAATCCGAGACTTCTCTATGTTTATTTGTAGACCTGTGTGTTTCTTGAATATCTCAAGCGAGTCCATAATGCCTTTGACAGTTCTCATGTCAGCCTTACATGCAATAATTAAGTCATCTGCAAAAATGAGGTTGATTACCTTAAGTGAGGCACACATTGGATGGAACTTGAATCCATTGTTCTTGGCTTGCTTTTAGAGGATTCTAGTTAAGTATTCCATTATGAGCACAAATAGTAATGGTGACAGTGGGCTCCCCGTCTGAGGCCTTTCTCACCCTTGAAGAATCTATGAGCTTCCCCATTGATCATTAGAGTGTATGATGGGCTTCTAACACAGAACATAATCCATTAGACAAATTTATCTGGGAATTTCATATGGATCAGGATTTCCTTTATAGCCTTCCAACTAATGGAGTCATATGCTTTTTGAATATCCAATTTCATCAAGCACCTAGGAGATATTCCTTTTCTTATATAGCCCCTTGCTAATTTTTGGCATAGTAGGACATTATGGAACAACTCCCTATCCTTGATAAATGCTCCCTGGTTCCAGTTGATTAAGGTTGGTAGCACCTTTTTCAGCTTATATTACTGCACAGAATTTTGGATATGACTTTGTAGATCACATTGCAACATGCAATGGGTCTGTAATCAGATGAGAGAGTTGGGTTGTCTTTCTTAGGAATGATGATAAGGCTTGTTGCATTAATCTGTTTCAGAGTCTTCTTTGCTTGGAAGAATTCTAGTACTGCTTCAGTAACCAAATTACCCACCTGGTTCCATTGATTTTTATAGAAACCACTAATGTATCCATCTGGTCCTGGATTCTTTGCATTTGGTATCTCAAATAGTGTTTCTTTGATTTGTTGGGGAGTAATCTTCTCTAGCAACTCCATTTGTTGTCTAATGTTTAGTATTTTCCGCTCCTTAAGCACATCCTCATCAGTATCACTTGTATAAGTACTGGTCCCTAGCAATTTAGTATAGAATCTGGTCATCTCTTTGGCCACCTATGTTGTTCCTTCTAATTTTTCCCCTTTGTCATTAAGTAAAAAACTGATGTGATTTTGTATCCTCCTTTTCTTCACCCAGGCATGAAACATTTTTGTGTTTTGATCCCCTTCCTTCAGCCAAGCTTGCTTGAGATGTTGACATTTTATTAAGTAAGATGCTCTCAGATTCTGTTGGAATTCCTTTCTCTCCCTATTTTCCTTCTCCATCAGTTCAGGGTTTAGAGGGTTCTTACTCAGTGCATTGTGTATTTCTACCGGTTTAGCTCTGCCCTCCTCACATTTTTTATGTATGTCAGAGAATCTTCCTCTATGCAGATGCCTTAGAGGCTGCTTCAGCATCCTCAGCTTTTGAGTTAGCTGGTACATGCTATTTCCCTCTATTTCTATCCTCCAAATTCTCTCCACCATTTGTTGAAATTCAGGGTTTGTACTCAACATATCACAGTATCTAAATACTCCTTTCTTTACCTGCAAATCTACCTGAGTTAGAAGTAGAGGGGTATGATCAGAAATGCCTTCTTCTAATATCTTGATCTTAGTATTATTATTTAGCAGCTAGTTCATGTTACCAAAAGCCCTATCCAATTTAGATAGGACCTTTTCCCTGCCTCCTGTTTGTTAGACCATGTGTAGTGAAGTCCTACTGTAGTTCTTCCAGTTCACAACTTCTCAAGCAGTTCTCAAAATCCACTGTATCTTCTTTGCATACAGGGAGACCTCCTATTCTGTCCTTAGTGGATAGGATTGCATTGAAGTCTCCAAGGATACACCAAGCTCCTTTGATATGATTTTGTGTCTCTTGTAAGAATTTCCACAATTCCCTTCTTTTATCATTCTCATTATGCCCATATATGAAGGTGATCTCTTCCTCTGTGCTCTTCCCCATTCTTCTAACCAGACAGTGTACAGCTTGATCACAAGCTTTATTGATAAGAACACTGAATCTTGTAGGATCCCACATTACCATGATTCTGCCCAGATGATGATGATCACTATTGATATAATAGTTCCAACCCTGTAATAATTTCTCTTTTATTTTGGCATACTTCTCCTGCCTTATTTTTGTTTCCAGTACTCCCATTAGGCCAACCTTATTACTCCTAATAAACTTTTTTTACTCCATCTGTTTATTAGGGCTATTAAGCCCTCTTATATTCCTGCTGCTAATCATGACAGAAAGGGATAGTGCCCCAAGTATGGGATTTCCATTAGTGATTTATGTATCTCAATACCATATGACTTCTCATACTCATTTCCCCAGACTAAGTCTTCTGCTAGCTTTCCTCTTGCTCCCTTCAATGAAGCCTTCTACTAGATCATGAGTGACTCCCTGTTTGGTTGGGTTTATTGATCCCTCTTCCACTAGGCTTGCCTCTTTTCCCTCCTCCTCAGGTTTACCTTCTTCCCCCTTTTCTTTTTTCTCACCTTCCTCATCTTGTTCCTGAGGTGATCTGTGGTTGGCATTCTCTTTTTTCTTCCATATCATATTCTTCTTTGGTTATGTCTTCTTTTTACAGGATTTTTCTTGATGTCCCAGACCCTTGCAGTGTGTACATTTAGTTGGGCACCATTCATATTGTATCTGTTGAGACATAATCTTCCCCTTATCATCCTCAAACTGAATCTCCTCCGGGAGCTGCTGGTTCGTGCTCACTTCTATCTGTATTCTAGCGAAATTCAGCTTGGTCCTTGATATAGTGGTTTTAACTGCTCTTATGGGTTTTCCAATAGAACTCCCAATCTTGCTCAGCCATGTCTTTGTCCAAAATTTGATTTCCAAATCTGGTAGTTGAATCCAGATTGGGATATCTATAAGGGCATCCAGATTAACTTTACTACAAGGTTGCCATTTCCTCACATAGGCTGGTTTATTATCAAAATAATAATAATTTCTCTTAAGGATCTCTTCTTGATCTTCCACCTTCTCAAATCTGACCACAAATTGCCCCGGCTTCATTAGGGTAACATCCTGTATGCTGTATTGTTTCCAGATCCTATGAACGAACCCTTCTACTATCCCAATAGGAGGATTCGCTCCCAATATACAGACTAGGATTGCAGCCTCCCAATAAGATGTATGCTCGACTATATCTTTTTGAGTTAAGTTTGCTGTTTTGTGCCCATTGCGTTCAACTGTATCAATAAAGCTCAGTTTACAGTCTAATTCCTCTTTATCTCCCACAATTTCTGCGTATGATTTTGCTTTTAATGGATCTAGGGTTACCTGTTCTTGTTCGTCTTTATCTTGTTCCTCTCCCTTAGATTGTTCCTCTTCCCCCTTTTGTGCTGTGGACGGATCAACCTCAAGGATACTCTGCGAAGGTGTTGGTGTTGGTTTCATGTAGTTTACTGGAGTATTTGGGTCCCGATTATTCTTCGGTCGGCCTCTCCTCGCCATAGCTAGAGAGAGAGACAAGACCTGTAAGCATATACTTTACCACAGCAAATTGTTTGTAACCCAGAATGTTAGTACAAAAAAATTGTAGTAACATTTTGTGGATTCAAAGGCAAATGGCGAGAAAAGCATGTACAGCTTCAGTAACTCTTTCTTTCAGCTTTTTAATAGTTCAGATGTCTGAATAGTTCAGTACTTAATGATTTAGACTGTTTGTTTCAGCCTATTAATGGTTCAGATGTCTAAATGGTTAAGAGATTTGCCTCTGAATGGTTAAGTATTATACAGAGTCTGAATGATTAAGACCTCTTATCTGAATTGATCAGACATTTGCCTCTGAATAGTTAATCAATATACTTGCTATTAATGGTTCAGACCTCTTGCTGGTTCAACACTTAATGGTTCAGACCTCTTATTGGTTCAACACTTAATCGTTCAGACCTCACCTCTTACTGATTCAGCACTTACCGATTCAGAAGTTGCCAAACAGCCCCTTAGTACCCATCTTGTTAATAAGGAATATAAAAATAATTTTTTTGACGTTGAATTTCAATGTGATTATGAAATCGGTTACCCCTCTTGTCTAAAATTTAATTCAATCATACCAAACCCCCGGTGCTCCGACGGCTCCGTTCAATTATAGTATTGTTCATCGCCTTATCATGATTATTATTATGCCAGTCTTCAATACCATTAAACAGAGAGAGAATGGAAATCCAGAGCATCTCGGTAGCAGCAGCAGCAGCATTATTGGCCGCCTGGGCTTTCTGTTTACTCCTAGCCAAATCAATCCGTCGCCGGAGAAACCTTCCGCCGGGGCCACTCCCGTTGCCGGTCATCGGGAGCCTTCACTTGCTCGGAGACAAGCCGCACATCTCCATATCCCGTCTCTCCGCAAAATACGGGCCGGTGATGAATCTGAAGCTAGGAACCGTAAACACGGTGGTCATTTCCTCACCCGCCGCGGCCAAAGAGGCTCTGCAGAAGCAGGACTCGTACTTCTCCGCCAGCAGGGGAGTCCCAGACGCCGTGCGTGCCCACGACCACCACCACTACTCCGTCATCTTCCTCCCCATCTCCCCCGAGTGGAGAGCCCTTCGGAAGAGCTTGACCTCCAACATGTTTTCCGGCAGCAAGCTCGACGCCAACCACAAGCTCCGTGACCGGAAGATCCAAGATCTGATTTCCTATTGCCGGAAGATGAGCCGGGGAGGGGAAGCCGTGGATATCGGCCGGGAAGCGTTCAAGACGAGCCTGAATCTGCTGTCGAACACCATCTTCTCCAAGGATCTGTGCGACCCGGACTCGGATTCGGCCAAGGAATTCAAGGATCTGGTGTGGTCTATCTTAGTAGAAACTGGCAAGCCCAACCTGGCGGACTATTTCCCGGTTCTGGGAGTGCTAGATCCCCAGGGCGTACGACGTCGCTCCAGCCGACATTTAGCTATGGTGCTCCGGGTCTTCAAGGATTTGATCGATGAGCGAGCGGCGGCGCAGGGGAAGATATTAGTGGGCGGCTGCGGCGACGGAAGACATGATGATGATGTATTGGATTCGCTCCTAGGGATCGGTCAAGAAGGCGAAGCCCCCTTCAGCTCAACTCAAATCCAACATCTTTTTGCAGTAAGCTTTTTTTTATACTCTCTCCGTTCCTAGCGTTGCAGGAATTTTGTTTATTTCTATGTTTTCATTGGTTATTTGATAAAATAAAATATCATTGACACCTCTTATTTCGAAGAACTTTTCATATAGTTTTTTGATATGTAAATTTTATTTTTTATTTCTATACCAATATGTAAATAAAATGAAGTGAAAATACTTGATATTTTACCTCAGGAATACAATTGTGGCAAATATTTAGAAACAGAGGGAGTAGAAAATTCCCTTGCACGCTAGTCATGGAGCCTAAACAAGCTACCTCCCCTTCATTTCAAAAAAGAAAACAAAAATTTAATGATCCAGAGGTCCCACATTTTTCTGAAATATACTCTCACATCCCTTTGTTTTTCTTAAGAATTTTCAAGTCCTACATTATTTAAAATATTCTCTAAGATCTTTAAAATTTGTAATATTATACTCAGGGGATACATTATCTCAATTTAGGTGTTAGATTAAAAGTTATTTTACTTTGACAAATGTATGAATTTTTAATTTAATAAAATAATTATTATCAATGTAAAGTTTATTATTTTTTCAAAGTAAACAGAACTTTCAATTATAACGGTCAAATAAACGGAATGTAACCTCTGAGTACATTATCACAAAAGTTAATGACCCATTAAGTATATTTTGGATAATGTAGGACCTGAGACTTTTTACCAGAAAATAAAAGGTACTCCAAGGTATATTTTAGAAAATGTAGGACCTAGGAGTTTTTACCAGAAAATCGACGGTAACCAATAGTAATTTTCTGAAAAGAAAAAGTTAAATTTGCTCTAAATAGTACTAAAACATATGTCATTTCCTAATGTTATACTTAAAATTTTTTATTTACTAAATAGTACTTTAATGATGTCTTTTGGCGGGAACAATATTTGGTCATGGTGGATATTTAGTTTGAACAATATCTAGTGGATATTTACTTGAACAATGACCAGTGGACAATAACTAGTGGTTCTACATTGAAAAATAAAAATATATGGTACTACATTGGAAAACTCGCTATGTTTTAGTACTATTTAAGTAAAATCCCGAAAAAAATGTTCTCCCCTCTTAAAATTAACTTTCTAGTTTGATTTCCTTGGTTTTTTTAATTTTAACCATATATTACAAAAAAGATATACTAAATTTTCAAATATATATTTAATATTAATAGAATTGTTTTGAAACATAGTTTTGAAATATATTATTTTTATAATATATATATATACAACACACACACACACTAATTACCAAACTATTGCATTGTAGACAATGAAAAGCCAAATGAAAAGTTATTTTTGGTTTAAAAAGCCCTAGGCAATGTGAATGGCGCTAAAACTGCTCCATGGGCGGAGGTAACAGAGTGTTTATTTAGCTTTTACTTTGAATTATATAGTATTTTAATTTGATAGAATAATATCTTGAAAATATTGAACAAGATAAATTTGATAAAATTATTTTTATGAATTTTAACTGTAAAAAATTAAAACTAGACAAACTTTTGAGACGAGAGTAATATTAGACATAAATTATGCTCCATATATTGGAGAATCCAAAAGACCAAAATAATTAGATTTTTGTCTCGACCAACTTTTGAGACGAAAGTAATATTAGACATAAATTATGCTCCATAATTCTCGCTACAAAGCTCAATTATAAAGGTACACTCTCCCTTTTATTTCATTTCGTAATTTGAAAGTTAAGAATTCAAATTTAAAGAGTTATTATTGTTAAAAATAAAAACAGTTCAAATGAAATCTAAATTTATGAAACACTCTTTTAGGCTATGTTGGCACTACAAAATATGAGTTTTCTCTATTTTACATTTTCTCTCATCCTCGTAAAACCTCTCAGCTTGTCTTGTGATATGATTTCACCTCCCAAAAAACCCCCAAAGTTGATATTTATTTGGTCAAAATTCCTAAATTTGTTAACAAACTTGTAGGGTTCGATAGGGGGCCGAGTGTGGAAGGTTCATGCTAGCTAGGGTAGAGTTTTATGAGAGTTAGAGGATAGCCACGCATGTATATAGGTCATGTTCTTTTGAGTTGAAATTTCAAAATTAGATATTGGAAGAAACAAGGATTTCGAAAAATTGGAAATGCCAGACAATTTGCCTCCTCTCCAATTGAAATTGGAAAAATTATGGTGAATGATAAAGCTAGACCCTCTAGCATTAGTGTGGTTAATTGTATTGATTGACCTTTTGGTGTTCCTCCTCTCCTCTTGATAAAAAAGAAACTTAAATGTGAAAATAAAGAGAGAAATCTAAATTTCCTTGGTTTACCAACCTACTCTTTCCCCCCCACATTTCTCCCCCTAGAGTTGATGTATTACAATATATACTTCATGATTGGTTGACTAAGATGTTCATCATGAATTTGAAAGTAAGTCATTGTCATACACGTATGCTAACAGGACTTGTTTATTGCCGGGACTGATACATCATCAAACACAATAGAGTGGGCAATGTCAGAGCTTCTCAGAAACCCAGAGACGATGGCCAAAGCTCAGTCCGAGCTTAGAGAGGTCCTCGGAAAAGGAAAGATGATACACGAAACCGACATCCCTCGCCTCCCTTTCCTTCAATGCATCGTGAAAGAAACATTCAGATTGCACGCACCGAGTGCATTCTTGATTCCCCGTAGGGTTGAGCAAAATCTAACACTTTTTGGACACACGATTCCCAAAGGTTCACAGATTCTCATCAACATTTGGGCAATCGGGCGTGATCCTAGTGTTTGGGAGGCGCCATTGGCCTTCAAACCAGAGAGGTTTTTGGGGTTAGGAATGGATTTTAGGGGGCAGGATTTCGAGCTTCTTCCGTTTGGCACCGGGAGAAGAATGTGCCCCGGTTTGCCGATGGCCGTGAGAATGGTTCATGTGATGTTGGGGTCACTATTGAACTCATTCCGGTGGAGGATTGAAGGTGGTGTTTTGCCAAATGATTTGGATATGGAGGAGAAGTTTGGCGTTACCTTGGCTAAAGCACATCCTCTTAGAGCCATCCCCATTGCCCTGTAAAAATACTCCTTAATAAATGGTGCCCCTAGTGTGCTACCAAGTGCTTTGCACGGACTGAGAGTGTTGGCACGTATTTGTTGTTGGTAATGATTTTAAATAATTTTACTTTTGTTTTGATTAATGTTTTTTACTATGGGGACAAATATTTCTTTATTGAAGGCAAACATTTTATTTACTTGATATGGACAAAAGATGTGTAGAGGACATTTTAACAAATCAGTGCAAATGAAAAAGAAAGAAAGACTTCTCTTCCATTCAGTTATTACATCCCGATTAATTTGGAACGGAAGGAATATCTGAAAATCCATAAGATCAAAATAAATAAATTCTTGTTTGGACCAACCTTCTCTAATTCTCAGTTCGTACAAAGCTCAATTATAATTTAATACTTCCTTCGTTCCACAAAATTATTCCTTTTTCGTTTTTTTGCTTTTCACAAAACACTTCCACTTTCTATTAAAAAATCACTTTTACCCATACTTTTTTATATCCTACCTATCAGATCATACTTTTTCACTAATAACCAAATTATCCCATCTTACTTTTTCCCATCACATCAGGGGCAAAATTGGAAAGTCAACCAAAATTACACTTTCCTTATTTTTCCCAAAGTCAGAGCCGGAAGGGTTTTGTGGAACGGAGAGAGTACATTTTTTCTTATAACTTGAAATCTAAAAATTCAAATACTCCATACGTTTCATGTTTTTCTCATTTCCCTTTTTGGGTCGTATTTCCTTTTTTCGTTTTTTAATTTGGCAAATAAATGATACCAAAAAGACTAATATACCCCCCATTTTCTGTTTTCCTTTCTTTCGTTATTTTCTCTCACCCCGTTTTGTTCTTCCTCCCTCCTCCCTCTTCTTCCTCTCCGTAAGTCTCCCAAGAATCTATTCCATACATCCGGATGTGTAGTGTTTCCCATACATCCATATGAATACTCATTTTTAAGTAATTGACTAATCATTTTAGAGTAATATAATACTCATTTTCTAGCAATTGAATACTCAGTTTCAAGCATAACTAATTACTTGAAAATGAGTATCTTACCACCCCTTGTACAATATCTATTGCAAATCCCCCCTTCTTCTTCTTCCTCTGTTTCTATTTCTTCTCCCTAATTATTGTCCCTCCTACGTGTAGACTATTAATAATAATACTCCCTTCGTCCCTAAATATTTGCAACGTTTGCTTTTTCAGCGTTGCAGAAACTTTTGTTTATTTCTACGTTTTCATTAGTTATTTGATAAAATAAAATATTCTTGACACCTCTTATTTCGAAGAACTTTTCATGTAGTTTTTTGATATGTAAATTTTATTTTTTATTTCTATACCAATTTGTAAATAAAATGAATTAAAAAAACTTAATATTTTGCCTCGGGAATACAAGTGTGACAACATGCACAATTCAATCGAGAATTAGATCTGACATGGGGCTGTCGCCGACCATTAGATCTATTTCCAAGTTTCTATACTATGTGGAGATCGATTTAGATACGATTCCATGATCTCTTTGATTTTGATTTTCTTGAATGTGATGAGATTTGGTTTTCTTGAGTATGATGAGTTCTGATTTTGAGAAATGCTAGGAGAATACCGAAGTCCGATGGGCTCCGCCCTATGGGCTCCCTGTGCGTCTCGTTGAGTCCTTCCCGGAAAGTGGTCGCACGCTGAAGCTCTTCCAACGGCTGGACCCTCCTCCTGCTGAGCCGTTTCCAGGGTGGGCAGGTTGTTAAACAGAAAAGATAACTCTTCCCAGGGCCCCCGCCGACATCTCCGGAATCCCTAACGTTGCCGTCAACCGCCACATCCCGGTTCAGGAATTTTAACCCGTACTCCAAGTTCACATCATACTAGGATACCATACATTTTTATTCGTTTTTTTCAATATTAAAATGTCTGGTATGTGACTGATACCACCGACTACCGAGTATTGTTGCATCTATATTTTCATGGTTGATACAAAATGTTAGTGCAAATTTTGTTTATCCCACTAACACCGACCATGTTTTTTTGAGTTAGGAAAATCAACTTCTAACTTCTTTCATCTCTTTCTAATTTCTTTCAACTCCTTCCAGGCCAGGGCGAGTAAGTTTTTTATGTGTAGCTCATAGTGTTTTTCTTCAGTTCTAAAGCCTGAAATGAGGTGGAAGTATACAGTCGTGCATGTGTGTTGTTTGTGAAAATGTATGTGTTTTTGAAATGAGTTGTACTGTTTTAATTAATTTTGTACTTAAGCATCTTGGGAGTGTAGTGGTTGCCGTAAGTATTAAAGACTTGTAAGTAAGTGAAGAAATTAGGTATTGACTGAAGTTTAAAGACTTCATAGCGGTGGATTTAAAGACTTTATGGAATGAATTTCCAAGGGGTGGCCATAAAAATGGAACAAAATTTACTGATTAGTACTGGTTTTAAAGACTTCTTAATCAATGAAGTTTGAAGAGTTATTGCTGTGTATGTGTGAGGATTGAGAAAATGGCTGTGTATTCGTAATGACTTGGGCTGGTGTAATAAATATTTACCTTAAGCATCAGGTGAATGTAGTGTTTGCCGTATTTGTTTGGCAGTGGTGAGTAGGTGAAGGAATTTGGTATTGAGTGAAGTTTAAAGGCTTTTTAGAAGTGGTGTTAATGACTTTGTAGTGTTTTTAGTCCCCAAAGATGGCCCTAACTTTAAGTTTAAAGACTTCTTAGTAGTGTTTTTGAAGTTTTCTTAGTAAGTAAATGATTTGGTTTTTAAAGTGCTTAATATGCTATAAGTTCTTACAAACTTGATATGGAAGGGCTTTTTGTGAATCAATTGGTTATTACTGCTTAATTGAGAATAACTTTTTTGTGGTATGAATTCATTTCTGAGTTAGTAGTATGTGTGTTTATTATACATATTGAGTGGGAGTGTAGTCCAAGGAATGTTTCTTATTTCACGATAAGTTGACGGTATCTGATTTTTTGTTGGATAATTTGCGATAGGTGTACAAAAGGTTATGTGATGAAGAGACTTTTGTTGGCAAAACAGGGCTGAAGGTCACATGCTTTTGTAATGTGTGTGGGTGTAAAAAGTGTTGAAGAAGTGGTCAGTGCTTCAGAGTTGGCTGAATTGAAGGAATCTGCATTTGGTGTTTTCTTCACGCTTGGGGAAATAAAGTGGGTTAATGGTCAATTGTTGATATTATTCGCTTTAAATTATGTGGAACCCATTAAGAGGAGTGGAGAGGTAGATAGGCTAAAGTTTCACATTGGAAATAGGATAGTGGAGTTTAAGAAAACAGATTTCCCATTGATTACTGGGATGAAGTTTGGAAAAGAAGCTAAGTATGAAGATATTGACCAGGAAAATCTGAACGACATCAACACAAGGTATTTCAGAGGCAAAATGAGTGTGAGCCGTTTAGAAGTTGAGAATGTGTTCAATGGTATCAAGAATAATAAAGATAGGGGACGGTTGGATGCTGTAAAATTAGCTTTACTAATCCTCGTAGTAAACCAAGTGGTGGGTAACCACCAAGGTTTGACAAAGATTCCAGCGCTGTACATGCATGTTGTTGACAACCTGGAACGATTCAATGAATTTCAATGGGGAGAGCATCTGTGGAAAAACCTGGTGGAAAGCATACGCAAATGTTTGGCAATTCTCAATTCGGGGGAACATTGCCGTTTTACGTTTCCGAGCTTCTTATTTCCACTACAGATTTGGGCATTTGAGACCTTCCCTTATTTGAGTGGAAATGGAATATTTGTTGTGGGAGAGAACTGGAGCACTTTGTGGCCAAGAGCATTACGCTGAAAGACAAGGGTGCACCCGAGGCATGATCTGTTGGAGGATTAAATTTTCGGCACAGAAGAGGTAAAACTACTGCATTTCAAATCAGATATGTTAATGCTTTACTTTAATTTGAAAGTATCTGGAATTATTTTATTCACTGCATAAAAGTGTTCAATGGAAAGAGATGGTTGCAACGACATCGGAGAAAGTCATAGGAAACATTGCAACCTTATTCACTGTGGGAGATGCAAGGAAAGGTAAAAGTAACGATGGTAGTGGAGAGCGCGTTGATGAAGGGTATGGGGCTGGTCGAAGAAAACTGAAAGGAATGCTACACTAGGGATGTGTGAGCTCGACGAATCAGGATGAGGATAATGTACAACAAAAGGAGAAACGAAAATTTGCGATTCGGAGGAAGGCAAAGGGGAAGAAGATAGAGAAGAAGACAATTAAGGCACGTAGCGGTAGTTCAAGAGGGACATCAAATGATGGGCAAAATGTTTTAGGAGAAGCTCGTGAGAATGAACCTTCATTGCGAGATATACTGACTGCAATAGTGCTTATGGAAAAGAAAAACAACAAGATGTGCATGGAAGTGACTAAGCTGAGAATAGCATTAAAAGCCCATACCCGTCATCTGAATAGCTATACATCGAGGAACAGAATGGGTAAGCGATGGGATAAGAATAAAAAACGTACAACAAAAGATAACAGTATGCCATGCTTTGATTTGAGATTTGAGAGTGAGGAGAAGAAAGATGCAACAGAAAATGACGTGGACGATAGTGTTTGGGACGAGGATATCATTAGGGATGCTGAGATAGGGACCCAACAGGGTGCGTGTGGTAATGATCTTCACGATCCGCTGACTGAAATCAGTACACAAGAAGTAGAGGGCTGATGGTTCAAGGAAGTAGATGGATTGGGGCTGAGGATACATGCTGAGAAGGATGTTGACAAGGATAAGTGCGAAAAGGGGCCGAAGAATATGGTAAAAGATGATTTGCAGCCGGATGATGGGGGCAAGGACATGGGTGTTGAGGATGTTCTGCCTACAAGCGTGGACGAAACTAAAGCAGCATCACCAGTGAATGGAGAAATGTCTGCTAGTGGTATGAATAGTCAGGGAAATGTAAGTAATTAACATTATTTGAAGTTTAGGCATTCAATTAATACAAATCTATTAAGCGATACATATTTGAAATAATGACTTTTGTAGGAAATTGAAGAAGAGGTTGCAGGGTTCACCGACAACTTCGAGACAACGTCGCAACTTATACAGGTTTATACTGTAAAAGTTTTTAAATGAGATATGAGTAATTTAAATATGTATGCTTTTTAACTTTACATTGTGTATGAAGGCATTGCATGATTTACCACCGGATGCCATTTTCTCCCCAGTCGAGGAGACCCTGGTTGAGAATGAAAAGAATACAAAGGATGAGGTGAGTCTGGTATTATTTTTTGGACCTACTTTTGGTGAGGAGTTATGTTTTTTTCCCTGTCGAAGGGACCCGGAGTGAGAATGAAAAAAGATTACAAACGGTGAACTGGGTGCAGTGCTGTCCCCGCTGCTCTTGCCTAGAAAAGGCATATTGTGTTAATGACCTTGTAACTCGCAGTAGCAGTGTTGTTGTAATAATAATGACCTCACAAAGATCCTAGGATAATGAAGGAAATTTTAAGTATAAGAAGGCTTGTATAATAATAATGACCAGAAAATGAGGAATTGGAAGGGAGTTTGAATTTTTGAACTAACTCTCAAGACTCTCAACTCAATATATTTAATAAAAATCAATCACAGAAGTGAAGGTGAAGCCAATAATGAACCAGGGAACCCTGGGACAAAATACTTAATGGGCGGAATTAGGCTAACAGAGAATTGTCCAAATATCACCCTTTATTCCATTGTCCAAATATCCTCACCGTATGAGATTAAGAAAAGCATACGTAAAGACCAAGATTAAGGGAATGAAATAAGGGAAGTGGACTTAATGAGTTTAGACTAAAGTTTTAGGATAATGACCAAAGATGTATGTGTATGGATGCATTTGCAATTATAATGACCAATACAATAAGAATGGAGAAGCAGGTGGGGTGATTAGGAGTTCCATGTTTTTATTATCTAATAATAATAATAATAATAATAATAATAATAATAGGAGTATTATTATAATAACAATATAAAAATAATACTCCCTCTGTCTAAAAATGTCCTTCTCATTTTCCTTTTTGGTCTGTCCAGAAATATTCTTCTCATTTCCTTTTTAGTCTACTTTTTAACGATGAATTTTAATACGAGTAATATCTTTCTATTTTACCACTAATCTACTTTTTTATTACATTTTTAATAAAAAAGAAGTTCTAAAAGTTTATAGTACATGCATTTTTTGGGAATTTGGCATTTTTTAATTACTCTTTAATAAGTGTGTCACATCAACATGTGAAGAACATTTTCGGACGGAGGGATTAATAATAACAACAAAATCATCATCATCATCGTTGTCATCATCAATACTTGATAGAAAAATTACAAAAGATCTCTTTCATCATCAATAAGCTATTTCGAAATTAAATAAATTTATTACTCATTAAGTTAATTTTCAAATTAATGAAAAAAAAGTAAAACATTAGTAACATTCATGAACTTCAAAAATAACATAACGAGCTCAAGAAGAAAAATATCAGTTCTTTTATTTTCACAAAATATTACTCCCTACTCTGTATATAATGAGATGCTGCTCTTCTTCTGACCCACACTCCACACTTAGACATATCCAAGACTCAAAAGTATGAGGAGAGATCCATTTTCGCCCCGCGTTTGTTGTCTGTCTGGTTTACCAATTTTGCAGCCCCATCAGTTCTTGGGGCATAGATGCGATAATGGTGGTCGATCGGGTGTGTTCTGAACTGGTTCCGTTTTTGCATTCAGCAATGCCGATAGAGGTCTTAAACATTCCCAGGTCTTCCAAGTTCTTCTTATGGACATGCCAAGTCAAACTCACCAGCTCCTGCATCTGTCATTGTTTCCAGCAAAGCCTGCAACACAGCTTCTATCATGCCCTTCTGTGGGTGTGACACATCTGAAGAAGAGAACACATTCGTCTTGTTCCCCATGCCCTCTAACCAGCTAAACCCGGGATCTTTCTCAATCTCCATATCTTTCATCTTTCTCCTTGTTTCTTTGACAGTCCCATCTTCCAGCTGCAATGTAGAAATTCGAAAGCAATATGCTTGTTGCACTGTCGTCCCCTGTGTCCAGTCTCAAGACCTGCATAGCTGCCCGGGCACCTACCTTAAAATCTCCATAGGAAAGGCAAGAGCAAAGCAAAACTCTCCATACTTGAAGAAGAAGAAGAAGGTGATGATGATGATCGCCAAATGAAGATTCTTGAGTAATGATGATCTCCTCAACTTCCTCTAGTAATCCTGCCCGGCTTAATAGTGCAATCATGGAAGAATAGTGTTTGAGCCCAGGGTTTATCCCTCTTTCCTTCATGCAGTTCCAGAAATGCTTTGCTTTGCTGACCAAACCGCAATGGCTACAAGTGGAGAGCAAAGACAAAAATGTGACCTCGTCTGGCTCCAGGCCGTTTATCATCTCATTGAAAGTTGTGAATGCGTCTTCGGGCTGCCCGTGGTATCCATACCCTCCAAGCAATGCATTCCAACATTTTAAATCCGGTTCGGTTGCAAGAGAAAACACAAGTTTTGAAGATCTAAGGTCTCCGTTTTTGGCATACATGTCCACAAGATTCCCACACACACTCATTTCAGAACCATACCCTTTCTTCACAACCAGGCAATGAACCACCTCTCCCTGTCTCAGAGTTGCTCCTTCAGCACAAGCATTGAGAACTGCGCTAAGAGTGAAACTATCAAAATCCATACCGTTTCGGAACATTCCATGGAAAAATCTGAGAGAACCATCGGTGTCACCAATTCCACAATGGCCAGCTATCGTGTCAGTCCACATAACCAAATCTTTGTGAAAAGCTGAATAAAATATCTTTTGGGCTGATTCGGGATCTTTGTTGCAAAAGTACATTGCTAACAATGTGCTCCCAACATATGTGCTACTCGCGAGTCCTGTCTTTGCAACTTGGGCATGAAGTGGCTTCCCATAATAACCCGAAGGAAATGCACTAGTGGCAGAAATGACAGCTGCAAAAGTATATTCATCTGGTTGGCCGAGAGACCTTCGTGCGAACTCGACAAACATTCTCATTGCATTCTCTCCATCTCCGTTCTCTGCATATCCCGATATCATTGAGTTGCATGATATTGAATCCGGGTTGTCAATCCTTTTGAAGATATTGAATGCCATTATTGTGTCACCACAATTGCAATACATATCAAGAAGAGCATTGTGTAAAGGCAAGTCAGCATTGACAGCGGATATGATCAATTGGGCATGAAGAAGTTTCCCGGTGTGATAATCTCTCAACCTGCTACATGCACTCAATAATATAGAGTAGGTAAATCGTGTGGGACTAACATCAGTCTTAAGCATGGCTTTGAAAAGATAAAAACTTTGTCTGAGCTCACCATTTTCTATATGCCCAAGTATCAAAGAATCCCAAGCAAATGAATCTTTGTGATCCATACAGCGAAAGACTTTGATTGCGCGGTCCAAATCGCCACAGTTCGAGTACATACCCAGTAGAGAAGTCTGAATCCGAACATTGCTCGAGAAATTTAAAATTTTCAGACACTGGGCATGGATCACAGAGCCCAAAGTCCAGTTCTTTAAGGTAGATGAAGCTTGTAAGAGGCTAGTAAAGATGGAAGCATTCGGGACGAGTCTCTTGTCTTGCAATCGTGCTAGTAATTGGAAAACCATGATACCCAGACGAGAAAAAGAAGAATATGACGAAATTAGGGCATTATAAGTGACTACGTTTCTCTGCGGCATATGATCGAACAGATCCCGAGCATCCTTAAGGGATCCGCATCGCGCGTACATGGAGAGAATGTTGTTGAATACATACGGAGACTTCGACGAAGCTGTGGGCGTGGACGTGACGATGAGGCCATGAACCAGGACTCGGAGATCTGTTATGGAAGAAATCTCAAGAGAAGGTGGCATACAAGAGAACCGTTGTCTGGCTGTTTTTTTTTAAATTATTTTTGTCACTTCGTTAAAAGCATATCCACTCCCCTCAACAAAAAATTACTCCCATTATTCGTTGTATTTGGTGCACTCCAAGTAAACAAAGTATCATTCTTTTTTTCTTTGAGAGAACAAAGTATCTAAAAACTCATGTTCAAAACCCACTCTATACCATAAAATTTGAGGCTTTACAATTTTTATGTACATTTATATACTCTTTCCGTCCCACTCTTTTTGTCTGATTTCTATTTGGCACAAGTACTAGGTGAGAAAGGTCTGTAATAGCCCCCTAAATTGAAAGGGCAATACTAGGGGTATTCATGTTGGGATACTCATTTGTACACCAAACTAATACAGACACAGACATCATGTGTCTGGTGTACAAATGGAGTACCCATGTCGGTGTACTCCTAAGTTAATTCAATATGGGAATGCTGGCTAAACAATGAAGTGCTGAAATAATTAATGAATTAAAGCCTTCTTCGCACTAAAAAATCTAAAGTCATCTTCATTCATTGAAATGGGTCTCATTGCGAATGGATTTCTTTCTTCATCGGCCAAATTTCATAGCGAATTTGGTTAGATTTATTTCTTCTTCACCTTTCTTCGTCATTGTTGCCGACACCTTCCTTTTCATCTCTGGTGAGGCTCCTCACTTCTCCGTCTTCCCTGATCCCGCCGTCATCACCTTGTTTGTCGACTTCTTCGTCTCGATACTTGGTAAGATCGTTCGACTCGTGTCACGTTGCCGTTGCCGCCATTGCCTGGTAAGATCTGGTTGGATTGAAGTGTCTGATTAGATCTCCTTCGATGACGGTGTGGCCGTCCTTGTGAGATTGTATTAGTTGTGGCAGTGCTAGGATTGGGATTTGAAGTAATTGGGTGGAGGAGAGATAAATATTCTAAAATTTTAGATGAAGGGTAAAAAGACATTGAACACTTTGTTTTTACTCAAAAAGAAAAGTAAACAAAAATAATGCAACAATCCGAAAAAGAATACTAGACAAAAACAGTGGGATGGAAAGAGAGTATAATATTTAAAAAAATAGGGCCCTCTAAAATATTGGGCCCGATCCGATAGGGTTGCTCCAGGCCGACCCTGGTTATATGAAATATTTTTTTCAAGAAACTATTGATTCTATTATATTGTTGATGAAAAATAATACGTTGCTCGACCTACATTTCTCATTTGTTTATAAAGAACAATCAAATTATGCCTTTTTATAAAATGAGAGAATAAGAAAATATTTCTTTATAGATGCTCCTGCTATTCCTATAAAAGAAAGAGTTAATCACAGAGAGGTGGAGGGCTTCTCTCCTCTCATCACTCTCCCAAGCTCACACACACTCTCTCTAGATAATTTTTAGTGTATTTTTCTTCTTTCTCAAGAGATCAAATACTCCATTAATGGCTTGTAATCCTAAAGAATGTACCGTGTACAACCCTCAATGTTTAAAAACCTCTGTTGGCAAGGTACTACAAAAAACGTCTGTGGTTTTCTTCCGATTGGATTTCCACGTCAAAATTCAAGTGTTTATGTTTGGTGTATTTTTTTAAGATTAATACATCGTTTTTGTCTGGTTAAGAACGATATTCTGATCGAGATAATTTACACTTTCATTTGTGATTGGTAATATTAGTGGAATGATTTTTTTTAAAGAAAATACTTTTTCCATATTGGAGAAAAATAATTTCGATTTAACTTCGAAGAAAAATTTTCATTCTCTCTATCTCATTCACCACACATTTCACCTCACCCTCATCCCCCACTCTCTCAACCCCATATCCCCTTCCCTCTCACTTTGTTCCACCCCATCCATCCCATACCCTTTCTCTCTCATCCCACCCCTATCGCCCCCACCCTGTCCACCCCATACCCTTTTTCCTCCCACCCCTATCGCCCCCACCTCGCCTACCCCATACCCTTTTTCCTCCCACAACTTATCGCCTCGTCCCCTGTTGGGGATAACGAACATAATGTGGATCAATTTGAGAGTCTTGTAGCACTTTTAGATTTTTAGATTGATTATTTTGGGTATTCAATCTAAAAATCAATTTGATAAAACTCAAATTGGACAAGAACACGCATGCGGGGTTTATAGAGCTGCGAAAGGGAAGAAAAGCCGTGTCGCATCCTCCATCTAAAACGCGCGTCCCCTTGTGCGAATTTTAAGAAACGGGCGCTCTCTTTTTCCAAAAAATGTCCTTTAAGGAAAAATCAAAAATTAAAAATTCAAATGAATTTTTAACATAGTACTTCTTCCAAAATAAAAATTTTGACTAGGGACTCTGCCCCTTGGACCTCCCAAGGGCTGATATATATATATATATATATATATATATATATATATATATATATATATATATATATATATATGTATGTATATATATATGTATGTATATATATATATATGTATGTATATATATATACACACACACACACACACACACATATAGACATACACACACACACATAAGAAGCACGTCACAAAAGAATGAACCGAAGGAAGATGCAGATTCACGGGATTTGCCGATTTGGGAAGAAGCTGAAGAATAACACGATTCACGAAAGACGACGTTACGACACCGCCGACCGCCGTCACGCCGACCTCCAGCCTTCAGGTATTCCATATTCATAGCTTTCCAATTTTGTAATTTTTATTTCTTAATGTTCTTTCATTGTTTCATTTTTTAGATATAAAATCTAGGGTCAATTATTAACTTTTAATTTGAAATCTTTTCTAATTTCATTCTTTAAAATAGAATGAATTAATGGTTCTATATGTTATTTATTTGATTTGGATGAATGAATTGAATTTGTTATCTATGATATATTTATATAAAAAAACTGAAAATCGAAAAAATTGAAAAATTGACGAATTGATATGAATTTATGATTTATAAAAAAATTAAAACTGAAAAAGAAAAAAAATAAAAAAAGAAAAATTGACGAATTGATATGAATTTATGATATATTTATTTATTTGCTTGCTTTTTCATATTTGATTTTACTAAGTAGTACTCCGTAGAATTTATGATTTTGAATTTTATCAGACTAATCCTGGTCTTGATCACTAGAAAGCAGCTAAGAAAGTTCTTTGATATCTACAAGCGACAAAAGACTATAAACTGACTTACAGAAGGAGTGATAATTTAGAAGTGGTTGGTTATTCTGATTCTGATTTTGCTAAGTGCAAAGATGACAAGAAATCCACTTCAGGGTATATCTTTATGTTAGCTGGCGGACCTATCTCGTGGAAGAGTCATAAGCAAGAGTTGACTGCAACTTCTACAATGATGGCAGAATACATTGCGGTGTACAACGCAACGTGTCATGGGATGTTGCTCAGAAACCTCATAACTGGACTCAAAGTAGTTAATTCTATCTCTCGACCATTGAAGCTTTATTGTGATAACTCAGCCGCC